CAACACGTTCCTCAACTTCCCTTTGAGGTGGACAAATGCTGCCTCGCATTCTACTATCCATACCATTTTCCCTTTTCCTGTTTGGTCCGTTAAGGGCAGGGCTACTCTCGAATAGTGTATGATAAACTTTCGTCGGTAGTAGTTGCATAGCCCCAAGAATGCCCTTACCTCGTGTACATTCGATGGTCACTCCCAATCTTGGATAACTTGGACCTTCTCAGGGTCCACTTTGAGCCCGTCCTTGCCCACCATATGCCCGAGAAGCTTTACCTCTTGTTGAGCAAAGTCACATTTGCTCTCTTTAGCATACAGCTAGTGTTCCCTTAGTTTCTCAAACACCTTCATCAAATGTTTGACATGCTCCTCTAATGTTTTGCTATAGATCAAAATGTCATCAATATAGACAACCATAAAGTGATTCAGATAGGGTACAAAGATGTGGTTCATCAACGCCAAAAACGTTGTCGGCCCATTGCATAGCCCAAAGGGCATCACCAGAAACTCAAAGCTTCCATACCTTGTTTGACAAGTTGTCTTCTCGACATCTTCCTCTGCTACCGTGATCTGGTAGTATCCTGACCTTAGGTCAATCCTCGAGAAGTGTTTTGCCTTTCCCAACCTATCGAAGAAGTCCTCAATCTTTGGCAAAGGGTACTTGTTCTTCTTTGTATACTTGTTAAGTAACCGGTAGTTTATGCACATGCGCATAAATCCATCTTTCTTTTTCACAAATAACATCGGTGCCCCATATGGCGACTTGCTCAACGTAACATACCCTTTGTCCACCAACTCCTCAAGTTCCTTTTCGTTCAAACAATAAGGGGAACGAACTACCGCCTCAGCACCCTCGACCAGCTCAATCTTATGTTCCATCGGTCGTGCGAGGGGCAACCCCGCCGATAGCTCCTCTGGCATGGTATCCTAGAATTGATCCAACACCCACTGAATCACTAAAGGTACTTCTTCCATTCCCGTCTTTTTGTCATTCTTCATCGAGAGTAAGCACAAAAATGCTACTTTGGTTCCTTTAGTGAGTTGTCCTTTCATGGACACCAGGTTTAGGTAGAAATCTTTGGCCTTGCATTGCTCTACCTTTAGATCCTGGGCCTCCACCCTAGATTTTCTTCCTTGGGCATTCACTACCACAAGGTTTCTACTTTGTCCATGTAGGGCTATCATGAACCGATTGAACCAATCCATCCCGAAGATTACATTAAATCCTGCCATGTCCAACATGGTGAAATCCATGTCTACTTTCCATGTCCCTACTTCGACTCTCGCTTGTCGAAATACCTCATCAGTGCTTTCGCTGCCTTGAACAAACTCTATAGTCCTTAGTTTGCCCAGCCATTGCACTATTAGTCCGGCTTGACGGACTATATCTACAGCCACAAAATTATCCAAAGCACCCATGTCAATAAGGATTTTAACAAAGCTACCTCCAAGCTTCCCTCGGAGGGCTAGTAGATGTCGCAAACGAGTTTTTACCAAAATTGCTTGTGTAATGAGTAACTTTGAGTTAAGGACTGGATCACGTACCTCAGTTTGGATTTCACCCGACTTAATGGTTATATTGGCTCTGGCCTTCTTCGGGTAGGGACATTCGCTCAAGAAGTGTCCCACTTCACCGCAGTTGTAGCATACGTTATTTCCCATGCTACTAACCGACTTGCCCTTCTTATATGTGGGTTTGTCTCTTTGCTTGACTCCCCCATGTACTCGCTCGCTGGCCACCGGATCTACCTTTCCGGAACCCCAAGGACTCATTTTTAGAGAAACTCCTCTTGAATTTCCCTTTGCTATATGTTCCCTTTGGTTTGACCCCTTTGTTAAATGTGGACCCCGACTCCATCATGTTCTTCTTTCGCAGGTTATCGTTGAAATGCACCTTGATAGCCGTATCCAACACTTCTTTGTAATTGGTCGGGTTCCAACACATCACCTCGCCGCGAGCCCAGGTTTGCAAGCCTGATATGAAGGCATGGAACACATCCATATCACCTATATCCGTGGGTTATGATGCCGTATACTAATATTAGCGTAGTGGGATTTTGGTAGCCGTCGGATTGGCTTCAATCTGGACCACTCGTTCCTATACATAAGTTAGGGTTTTTGGGCTAATTAATATGCACATTTCTGTATTCCCTTTCCATATTCCACAATTGTTGATATTTATTTAGAATAATTTTGTGTTTATAAATTAAAAACATTTTAATAATGGTCATCATGTTGACTACATGGCAAAAAGATGTTCTAATGTATTTTCAAAGCTTTTAAATCTGAGAACTACTAGTTCAATGTTTGGACAAACTTCTCAAGTTTAACCAGCTGCCACCTCCATGCAAGGGTACTTTCCACGAGCTCAAAGCTAGCTCTTGATTTTTTTTTGGTTGTTCTCTAGGCTCCAATCTGTTAGGAGTGATGCAAAGAGACTGTTATTGATCAGGCCAGGGATTTCCAACCCAAAGCTATGTTTCTCATACCTGAAAAGTGTATCCATGAAATATACATATCCTCTTGTAGGTTCTCTTCTAAATAGAAGACAAGTGCCTGAGGTTGTACATATCAAAGTACAAACCAAAGAAGCAGATCAATGGATCTCCCCGCGACGCATCAATCAGCAGTCGAACGAGGTGAGCAGTGCATACTTGATCCTCTTCCAGTCGGTCCACTTTCCTGTAACCAATGGTGCTACCGTTGCTCACCAGGTACCAGCCCAGCTCGCTGTCCCATGCCTCGACGTGATATTCCATGACCCTTTGTCCCATGTTTACTGGCTCTCGGATCTCCAGTGCGTTGAACTTTGAGACCTTGCCAAGACCAAGCTCGATCCAGCCAGTCGACTCCCCTTGCATTGGAGCCCAGAAAGTTTCCATACACTCGTCAAGGATTTGCTTCGGCCCGAACGAAGAGCTGCGAACGCTGCTTGCTGTCACGGACAAGGGATCGCTGCTAAGTTGACGCTGAAGATGGAATCTATGGCGGAGCTAAACCGCTCCAGCGTCTGGAAGTCGGATTCGTCGATCAGTCCCGACGAGTTTGGAGGGACGTTGAGCAGGAGCAAGCAGTTCCTGGCGGATGATTTGTAGAAAACGTCGAGCAGCTGCTCCAGGGATTTTGGAGCCTCGTTCCTGTGCCAAAACCAACCGGGCCTGATGGAGATATCGCACTCCGGAAGGAGCCAGTCGGTTCCAGCACTCGCTCCAGACATCAAGTACCTGTTGATGTTTTGCGAATTGGATCGACTCCTCCGGACGTGGCTTGGGCTCCTCCGGGCGCGGCTTGGACTCCTCCCGCTGTGGCTTCGGCTCCTCCCACCGAGGCTTGGCCTCCTCCTGGCGATGATCCATGGCCTCCTCCTCCCGGAGAAGAACCGCGGCGTCCTCCTCCTAGAGTAGAACCATGGCCTCCTCCTCCCGGGGCACCCCCTCCTCGAGCGGCCTCAGAACCATGGCCTAATCCTCCCGGGGCCAGATTCAGAGATCCGCGGCCAACCCCGGCCACCCCGCGCCCTCCTCCCACTCCATGGCCACCTCTCCCTCCATGGGCACCTCTTCCTCCTCCTGTTGGTGAAGATAGAGCACGAGCAGGCCCAGATCCAGCTCGATCGGCCCCATTTCCCAGAGCTCTGTTTCCTCTTCCAACCCTAAAATCGGATTACCTGCTTCCTCCACCTCCTCATAAATCTCCGCGGCTGCTGCCATGTTTTAATTGCCGCGAGATCAGAACTTCTTCGCAGGCACGCCAAACCCTAACTTAAGAATCTTCTCGAATATTTCCGGAATAATTTTTAACAACTTCCCTTAAAATAAAATGACCCCCCCAACACTTTAGATTTGGTCGGGGTTTTTGAAAATTACTTAAGAATCCTCCCTTTTGTTTTCGTGCGAATCCAAAATACTAATAATTTTCCCATAAAAAATAAGGGTAAGTACATTACTTTAGCTTAAGTTATTGTGCAAATAGGGAAAACGTAAATTTTGAACTTTAATTTTCGGGTAACTCTTGGTCCAGAGCTAAACTCTTATAAACATCTCTAAACATGCTCATTTAATTAACCACCAATGAACGGCAAAGATATCTTTACCAGCACTCACTAATTTTCTTTTGAAAATAAAAAACTAAAAGCAAAGAAGATATTATCAAACACAACTCAATCACACAATATTTGGAGCTGGAAGAATTGAATCCAACTTAATTTCAGCAAACTGATGAGGATGGACAATTTTTATTTTCATTTCTTTTGCACTTCTTAATTTACATTTCTTAATTTGTTTCTACTCTTCTTATACACACTTCTTCGGTGTATTTGGCCCATTATATTTAGCTGAAACACATGTACATGTACACTAGTACACTACGTACTAAGCCTATGATACACACTTGTTGCTAATTTTCAACGATTTGTGCATCTGCTGGTTGATACACACACACACACTGTGTAGGGCTAGCTCCATCCACAAGAGAGCCTGGGCACCAGAGGCTGGAAGAAGTCGTCACAGGAGAGAGCAAGCAGGTCACCACTCACGACAAGCTCAAAAAATCTGGAAGGAAGACGTCACCAAGGAGTTGGTGAGTACATTGCAAGAAACAAATGCCATCGTCACCAGCTTCCACACGTCTTCAACGTGCTCTAGGAGCACAAACCCAAAGTTGGTCATGCCGCAAGCCGCCATCACCTTGCTCCCGGAACATGAGGCGGTACTTGCTATCAGCAAAGAGTTTGGGTACTGGCAAGTCTTCATACTAAGGTTTATTATCTGAATCTGGGTGCTCTGTTTTGGGGCACCTGTTGGCAGGTTTAGTCAGCATTCCCTGATTCTGCTACCAAAAAGAAATTTAAATTTAAGACAACGTGTTATCCTCCTTTTGCATAGTTTTAACTTTTAAATGTTAATTTTTTCTCCTTGAAGTTCAGGTTGGCGGCAGTACTTTGACGAGGCATGCTCACTCAGCGGCCCATGTTTCTGCTTGACTCACGGAGGGTTTAAAACCAGGGATAACTGCAAGAAAGAGCACTGACATGTTTTCAAAAGTAGTTGTCACAGGAACATCTGCCATCCTGGAACACATGAACCCGACTGGCATCTTTGCAGATGATTAGCCTTTTTTCCAGCTTAGAGATGAGAGCAGTGGCCGCATGGCAACCGTCACAAACTTGGAGATTTTTCACAATTCTGATGGTCTCCTTCTGGTGCGAGTTCACCAGAGCACACCCCAGCGCAAGCTTCTCACTGTGGCCGCACAGGTGATCCTCTTTCTCTTCCTCGGGTATGTCTTTTAGAACGTTGATCACATCGCTTGCGTACCCCTCCTCTTTCATTCTCAGCAACAATTGCTTGAGCTTGGCCACAATCTCGTCGCTCTGTGAGTGACTCCTATCCCTGACAGAAAAAGAATGCACTTTTCCTGAGCTAACATCCGTCCACCAGCTTCTCCCGGGCTCCCTGAAGCTGCCTTCACCTCTCATTCTCTCCACAACAGCGGCCCTTTCACTGAGCATCCCCAGGTTTCCAAATATATTGGCCATCAATGCGTAGGGCGTGCCGCTCTTGGGATCCATCTCCACAAGACGCTCAAACGCGAGTTTGCCGATCGTGTAATTCTTCCACTTCCGGCAGGCTCCGAGCAGGGACGTCCAAACCACTGCATCCGGTTCAAAAGGCATGGCTCTGAGAACTCTCACAGCTTCGTCGAGGAGGTTAGCTCGCCCGAGCATATCGATCAAGCACACATAATGCTCCAGACGTGGCTTGACTCCATACTGCTTGGGCATTTCATCCAGAAGCTGCCTTCCTTTCCCGACCAGACCACCATGGCTGCAAGCGTTCAACACCGAAACAAAACTCACATCGTCAGCTTTACAGCCCTCCTCCTGAGTCATGGAATAGAAACGCTCCAAGGCCTCGATCGATCGGCCCTGGAGAGTGTAAGCCTGTATGAGAGAGTTCCAGAGACCCGTGTCGTCCCGAGCTCGGCACTCGTCAAACGCTTCCTGAGCAGAATCAACATCACCGCATTTGCCGTAGAAGCTCACCAGGCTGGAGCCCAGAACTGGATTGTTTTTCAGCAGCCCTTTATGCTTCGCCAGCTGGTGAATCTCCCTCCCGAGCTTGATCGCCATCACACTCCCGCAAGCAACAAGGACGCAGGTGTAGGTCCAAGCATCAGCTTGAATGGTGTTATCAGCTCTCAGGGCAGAGTAGTACTCCAGAGCAAGTTCAGCTCGCCCGTTCGTGTTGCAGCCCTGGATGATCGCGGTGTAGGACACAACACTCCGAGTTCCCATGGAGTGGAAAATCTTGCGAGCCTCCTCAAGCTCGCCACACTTGCAGTACATGTCTACCAGGCAATTCGCCACGAACAGACCTAGATGTTTCTTCTCCTTGCTCAGTACTGAATGGACTTGCATCCCGATGCGTAGAGCTCTCTCCCTCTTCTCGCTGGATTCGGTAGCAAGTGTGGAGCAGGCGTTGATCACCGCGACATGAGTCCGATCGTTGGGTTGAATGGTGGTACAAGCTCTCAGGGCAGAGTAGTACTCCAGAGCAAGTTCAGCTCGCCCGTTCGTGTTGCAGCCGTGGATGATCGCATTGTAGGAGACAACACTCCGAGTTCTCATGGAGTGGAAAATCTTGCGAGCCTCCTCAAGCTCGCCACACTTGCAGTACATGTCTACCAGGCAAGTCGCCACGAACAGATCTACCTGTTTCTTCTCCTTGCTCAGAATTGAATGGATCTCCATCCCGATGCGTAGAGCTCTCTCCCTCTTCTCGCTGGATTCGGTAGCAAGTCTGGAGCAGGCGCTGATCACCGCGACATGAGTCCGATCATCGGGTTGAATGGTGTTATCAACTCTCAGGGCAGAGTAGTACTCCAGAGCAAGTTCAGCTCGCCCGTTCGTGTTGCAGCCCTGGATGATCGCGGTGTAGGACACAACACTCCGAGTTCCCATGGAGTGGAAAACCTTGCGAGCCTCCTCAAGCTCGCCACACTTGCAGTACATGTCTACCAGGCAATTCGCCACGAACAGACCTAGATGTTTCTTCTCCTTGCTCAGTACTGAATGGACTTGCATCCCGATGTGTAGAGCTCTCTCCCTCTTCTCGCTGGATTCGGTAGCAAGTGTGGAGCAGGCGCTGATCACCGCGACATGTGTCCCATCGTCGGGTTGAATGGTGTTATCAGCTCTCAGGGCAGAGTAGTACTCCAGAGCAAGTTCAGCTTGCCCGTTCGAGCCGCAGCCGTGGATGATCGCATTGTAGGAGACAACACTCCGAGTTCCCATGGAGTGGAAAATCTTGCGAGCCTCCTCAAGCTCGCCACACTTGCAGTACATGTCTACCAGGCAAGTCGCCACGAACAGATCTACCTGCTTCTTCTCCTTGCTCAGCATTGAATGGATCTCCATCCCGATGCGTAGAGCTCTCTCCCTCTTCTCGCTGGATTCGGTAGCAAGTCTGGAGCAGGCGCTGATCACCGCGACATGAGTCCGATCGTCGGGTTGAATGGTGTTATCAGCTCTCAGGGCAGAGTAGTACTCCAGAGCAAGTTCAGCTTGCCCGTTCGAGCCACAGCCCCGGATGATCGCGTTGTAGGACACAACACTCCGGGTTCCCATGGAGTCCAAAATCTTGCGAGCCTCCTCAAGCTCGCCACACTTGCAGTACATGTCGATCAATCCCGTCAACAAGTAGATGTTGCTTTTGTGCTCATCACTCTTGAGCACAGCTTCATGGGCTTGTTTTCCCAAAGAAAGGGATCTGCTCTCAGCTGAGTCTCTCACGCGGTGTATCAGCCTCCCTAAACTCACCGGTTCATCACCAGCTACAGGTGGGGTATGTGGAGATTTGTAGCGGGCCGTGGTGGCCTTACCTACAGCTGGGTCAGCGAGCGACTCGAGTTTTGCAGAGACCCAGGTTGGTGTTTTCCTGTTGGCGATCCACAGGCTCTCTCCGGTAGAAACATGTTTGAAATCCGGGTAGGACTCTGAGAAGAACTTGTTTTTCTTCTTGAACCTGTTGTCCCACCAGAAAGTGGGATCCCTGAAAAACGTTTTCCACTCCATGAGATTGTTGAGAAATGACACACACCACACAAACCCTAGCGCCGAACGCATACCCTAGAAATCCCGATTTGTTAGTACTTAACTGTGTTTTCTGTTTTTTCTTTTTCTAATTCTTTTCCTTTTTAAACTTTACAATGTCACAGCTTAACTGCAGCAGCTTAGATGTTTATTGTCTCTTTGATATATATAGAAAGTGAGCCAGCAGCAATCAGTTGGAATCAGTACATGCATAATTTTCAGACAATCTTCTAACTGGCTGAACATCAGGTTTTTATGATTATTATTATTATTACTAACAACACGCACGAACTTCCTAGAAATCCCGATTTGTTATTCTCTGCATTCATTTTTTATATAATCTGTTGCTGCATGCACTTAACTGTAGTTCTTCAATATAATCTGCTAACTAAAAGATATTGATACACTCAAATATGCAAAAATAAACCACACTCTACACAAATAAAATAAAAAATCCTCTTCATGGGGCGACACGGCCAGAAGCCTCAGGGCACCAGTTTCATGCAGAACACTTTCGCAAATGACTCTCGCCCACGGCCCATGCACAGCAGTCCTCGGGCGGTGGTAAAACCTCACAAGGCCTCACGTACTTATATTCACCCTTGGCTTCTGGCTGCTCCGCAACATACCTTACCACACCAAACTCTTCGCACATGAAGCCACGCACGGAGGAAAAAACCGCGCAAGGCCTCACATGCTTACATTTGGTCCTTATATGTGTTCTTGGCCTCGCTCAGTTCATCTCCTTTGTTGTCCACCTGCGCTTCTTTACTTCATGTTTTTGCTTGCATGCTTCGATTGACATCTTCAGATTTTCAAGCGAACAATTGTGGCATACCGTGGCTACGTTTTTCGGCAGAGCTTGGAGGTGCTGAAAGCGGCATTAAGTTCATGGAAGATTGATCTTGATTTGGATTGTATGGATCTCTATAAATTTTGAAACTTGAGTTTATTTTTCTTCTTTTTCTTCTGTGTTGCCAAAATAACTGGTGTCAAACTTGCTTTTGCAGACTATCTCTAGTACTTCTGGATGTGATCAAGGCCTGCTGCTCATTGCTTCAAAGGAGGAGATGATAATTGATCCCCAAAGAGCGAGCTCGATGGTTTTGTTGCTTTCATTAAATTATCATTCCACTGCGATCTGAAACACCACATCGTCCACTGTACTTTCACAGGTTTCGAGACAGGTACCCAGGAAAGGTGTATTCCATTGTTGTTCCTCAGGACCTGGACTTGTTTTGCCGCCTCAAGTGTGAGCTGATCAAGATGAGGGAGAAGCTTGCGATGGCGGAGGCTTGGGCTCGAGCAAGGTTGCAGATGCAGTATGAGGATGATTTCTTCTACAACTATGATGAGTGGGACAGCTTTGTGGATCTTTCCACATTGAGATCGTCGAGCGGAGAGTGTTGTAGCATAAGTTATCTCCTGGAGAAATGGTCCTGGCTCAAGGAGCAGTTTGCACGCATCCGCACGTCAAGATTGTTGGAGAGCTCAACTGGAAGATGGAAAAAGGCCAAGGTGACTCATGGGGTTTCAAAACCTGCACTCGGCTTGGTAAGGTTTGGTGAGTTAAATAAGTATGATGAGTTTGAAGAGACAATCGCAAAAAAAAAAGGGGGGGGACGTGAAGCGTGCTAGCTCTCCTGAATGGCTTCAAAGAGGTGAGGTGTCTTAAAGAGGAGATGATAGAGCTGAGCATGGAGATGAACTTGGCTTGTGCTCCTTCTTGTAAGAGCTAACTAGCTAGCAAAAACAGAGGAGATGGTGAAGAGGATGCCTCTTGAAATCCAAGAGAACAACAGACCTTTTTTCTTAAGGGGGGGAGAAGCTGCTAGCAGCTCAGAAGTAGGAGCAGTGGAGCAAGAGGTTAGGGCTGATGTCATCCCTGTGCGCCAAGACTGCTGGGTGGTTCGGGGCTTGGTTAAAGTAGGCAACCGGGTGGAGGCAGGGGGTTGGGAGCAATCCGAGGCTTGAGGTATGACTTGTCTTTTCTACCTGGTGGAACTCCATCCGAGCATTCCTACTTCCCTCTTTTAAGCTGCTACATCACGTTTTTACTCTTAGCTCGTCACATTTATACTCTAATTTCACAATAACTCGCATTTTCACTCTAATTAATTCTTTTTTTCCCTTCCTCTCCCCCCCTCAGGATCATATGGAGCATATAAAAAATGTGATTAACACCTCTCACTCTTGATCTTGTGGGATTCATAATATGATAACACCTCACTCCTACTCTTGTGGGCTCCATAAATACACATTAAAAATTGTTAATTTATTATTATTAAAAAGTTAGTGTATTCCAATCTTAGAATATATAGTATCCGTTCACAAGCTAACCGCTTCACATGGATCTTCTCTTGACGTTGTGCATTGAGTGTTACCACATAGATTTGTGGACCAACTTGTTGGACGATGTGATAAGGACCTATGCAGCAAAACCTTGGATCCGCAACACCCGATTACTCACCAACACTTGATCACCAACAACATATGTAGAAAATTTAGAGACTCCAGCGGGTGCAAAGTCCGGGCAAAAGTAGAGTGGAATTCAGTTATTCGGAATGTGCCACACCCAGGAATTCAATCCAAAGCTCTTCTCTTCAAAGTTCTTGTGTCAGGTTTATATCCACAAAACCAGAGCTGGCACCTCCTCTTCAGAGCTCAGCTGTAGAAGATCTTGCCTAGACAGGGTGGTAACTATAAACAAGGAATCGATTGGCATTGCTCCTCTCAACACAAAGAAAGTCCAGGATGGAATAGAAAAAGAGATGTTGAAGATATGGAAGTCACTCCTACCCAGGTTAAGTCAGAAAGAACCAGACCATCTGACAGAGGCATTAGCTGATCGCTTGTTCTTCAACGTAGCACATAAGAACAGTAATCAACAGTATATAGGTGACTGTTCAGCTCCAGGCTTGGGTAGAGGTCTTTGGCCTAGGTGGCATAGGAATGTGGGAGCTTCGATTAAAGACTTATTGGATCTACAAAGAGCTAGCAAGCCATCACGTACAGCAAAGTTCTTGTTGGGATCTTGTTTTTCTTCCTCAGCAGTGGAAAAGGTATGATACAATGAAAAAGGTAAAGTCAGGTATTTGTTTAACGTCCGCTTGGAGCAAACCCTGCTCATCGGATGGCCTCATGACAACCCATTACAACCCAGGATGAAAACTCCACATCAAAGCTTAAGGCAGCATCACTTGTGATCGCCTTCATCTTGCTTTACAAACTGAAGTTATCGAGGTTCGTGATTGGATAATGCTTGATGGTGCTGAGACTCAAATCATCTTTGTTATGGAAACAACCCCATCACCTCAAGGTATTGTTTTTTATCCCCATAACAGTGGTGCACTGTTTCCATGTATAGTTCCCAAGGAGGTCCCAGTTCCCAGGATGGCCTTCAGTAAAAGGATCAGGACGATACATCAAAGAGGGAAATACACTGAACTGGATCCTAAGGTTCAACTGGGAGAATGCTCTGCAATACACTAGTTTGAGGAGTACCTATATCTGATCTTATATAGGATCCGGCTCAGTTATCCTGGGAAGGTAATGAGTTCAGTGTGTCTTTTTATATGTACAGGTCTAAGCATGGCAGAGAGCTTTTGATGGATAAAATTGACACCAAGCTTATGCAGAAGTTGAAGAATCGGAAGTACATTGTAAACATGTGGAAGACACTGGTGGAAGCTAAGGTAAGCTGGCTTCTTGTGCAGGACAGCATCCCTGTTGGTGATTGGCTCACAGTTCCCAAAACTCTGTGTATTCTATGCAATGAAAACCCCGTGGAGATGCTTGAACACCTCTTCACATGCAAATTTGCAGTTGGTATTTGGCTCTTTGATCAGAGACCTAGGTCCAGAATCAGCTGGTTCATCACGAAATACGGTGACATTTTTCCCTCTGCTCCAACTATGATGAACAGTAGGTGAGGAGAGAGAAGCTAGCAAAGCATCCCACTAACAAAACTGCTAACTGTCTCACGTGACACAACACCTCCAGCCATCAACAGGGTCAGAAAAGAAAGAAAGGATAGGAGCAAGTGACTACTTCTCCTCTTGCTCTGGAATGTCATACTCTGGAAAGTCATATTCAAAATTAGGAAACATCTTCCTCACATCATCCTCAGCTTCCCATGTAGCATCATATGGAGAATAACCATTCCACTGAACAAGTAACTCTGTCCAAGTCTTACGACGTGTGCACGCTAGCCGTTGCTATAACACACAAGTAGGGCCAACCTTCAAACATCTATCTCTGGAATCTTGATTGCAGACTGGT